TATTATTATCTCCAGCTAAGCAGGTAGTGAGGGAGCATGAGGGAAGGAAATAACAAATTCTCACTTACTTCTCCATATAAAAAGGCCTTCACTATGTACATAAGCAGATATATAAATATATGCGTAGTCACTATCTTCATGTCTTTTTTTCTGAAACTTTAGATTAATTTTAATTCAGAGAAGAGTTTTCATTTAATTTTTAGTTTTTGTTTTTTAGAGACAAGGTCTCACTCTGTTACCTAGACTGGATCGCAGTGGTATCATCCTAGCTCACTTTAACCTCAGACTCCTGACCTCAAGCAATCTCCCCACCATAGCCTCCCAAGGGTTATAGGCATGAGCCACCATGCTTGGCCTTAGTTTTTAATTCTTTAGTTATCTTATCAGTTTGGAATATTAATATAACATTTAAAAATATTTTATTAAATCAGAGAAAGAATATATTTGAGAAAAAATATATAAATTTAAAAAGTCTTATCTTATAACTAATTGGCATAATGAACAGACAGAAACTCTTACTATCACTTTAACATATTGACAAAGACCCCCATTGTGCCAGGTTAGGTCTTTGGGAATTGCAGAGAAACACACCCCTTTCTTCCATCCCTAGCTTAAGTTCCATCTTTGAGGATATTTTTTTGATTAGGTTTGTATGGAAATATGTGCCTGTGAAAAACCTGGGTATATCTGATACTTTTTTTAAAGAAGGAATATTTTAATAGAAGAAAGTTGAACTATCATCTAGCTGTAGCCCAGCTCTTCTGTTTTCTACAGACGGATCCTGAGACTCAGGCCTAGACTCACACACACACATAAAAGCCCCATCACTGCAGTGGGATTCTCTCGGGGTCTGTTCTGGTGATCACACTGCCTCCTGGTGAGCTCAGCTGTGAGCATAAGAGGGGTTTAAAATGAAATAGCAGGTTGCAGAAGGATAGGCAAGAACCTGGAACTGATGAAAATTCGGTAGCTGAAGAAGGAAATCTGTGTTTTCATGGATTTTGAAAATCATTTCCAAGGTTAGCATAAGAAGGGCATGATAGAGTTTTGAAGTGAAAGAAGAGAAAAATGAAGGCTTTCTCAGAAGATGTGAGTTGGTGAAATAGTACCACAGAAGGCTCAAAATATGTTCACTTGTCAAATACATTTCAATTACTAGGTGCTATATTTCCATTCTGTTTTTGATTCTTTAAAAAATTATTTATTAATCAGGTTCCTTGGGCAATTTAGTGCATCTCTCTGGACCTTATTCAAGTCTTTAAAATAAAGGTAATTGGTAATAGGAATTAGTGTAAATTCTGTTCAGCACTAACATAAAGAAAGTATCCTTATTACACCTAATTACAAGTATGGGAATTTTGTTTTATATAAAAACAAAGCCCAAAACAAGTAGAAACAGAAAAGCAAACCAAACAGTCATACGAGAACAGAATGTTCACTTGATTGAGTTTCATTTTCTTTCCTCTTATTCCCTGTACAGTCAGGACTCAAGTTGTTTTATTTGCATTCATCAAATTTTCAAACTTATATCCCCAAATGGTGCCCAGAACTCTACGTGATGGCTAAGGTCTGACTCAGGTTCAAGTTTATGACCCTGTTCAAGAATTTCTCTTGTGAATCAGAGAGAGCCCTGGTGACCAGGAGGAGACTATCAAGTCCTTGTGAACTTGCCTTTATCACCAGAGTTCTGTGGCCTTTGCCTAAGAGGATGACGCTGTTGAAGCAGGAATGATGAGTTTCACTGATCCGGGCAGATTCTCTACTCTTTGTGGGCAGTGAGGAGGATGATGACACGGTGTACGGGCTGTTGGTTTGGAGCCTGCATCAGGTGGCTATTGTGCCATGATGCTAACCACATCATTTACAGTATCCCTGCTAGTGACTTCAAACATAACCTTGTTTTTTAGTAATTATGTTATATTTTAAAATTATTTATTATTATCATTTTTGTTTTACAGATAAGGAAATGGAGGCTTGGAGAGGTAAAGTCGTAATTCCAACTCTTAACTTAGTAACTTAGTGAGTGGCAGAGCCGGGATTTGAACTGGGATCGTCCTATTCTAAGGTTCTCTATGTGATATTGTGTGTACCATGTAGTGTATCCTAAGTCAAGTTAATTCCTCACACGGGCTTCACAGGACAAAGTTAACTGTGGAATGAAGGAAATTAATCATTGACTTTGTGTCTATAAATTCTTTACAGAAGCTCAAGGAACTAAGATCTTACTGGAAAAATGAGTGAAGTTTTGGGAACTACTTGGGTGGGTGAAGACAGTGGAAGTTACTGGTAGGGAATCAAATTTCGTGGTGATCCCAGTTGAGCACACTTGACCCATATTTCCTTCTGGTGTGGAGACTGAAGTGAAGGAGAAAGAAAAGGTAAAATGTCCTTTCTGACCCCACGGCCTTTCCATGGTGCAGACAGCATCTTGGCTGTGCTGCCAAGGAAACAGGACTCCTTTCGTAGAAGGTGAAGGAAAGAAAAGAAAGCTTTATTTCTGAGCTTCTGAGAGTCCAGCCTACTCAGAAAGGCAATTTAAGAAAATCTTTAAGGGTAATTGGTATTTCTCTATTACCAGGAGAAAGATATGGTTCCTCTGTAGAGAAAGATTAGGCTCAGTCTCCCAGCAAAAAGAGAAATGCCGACCATTTTCAAAAAGTAGCTGAGAAGTGGGATCCAGGCAGTGACTTGCAGGAGGATTAAAGGTGGATGGGGCGGGCACATCATTCCCTTGAGGAAGGGGGCAAATCATCACTTACTGGAGTCTTCTACTGTGCCAAGAACTGTGCTTGGAGCTGCTTATAAATACCTATTATTATCCGGTTTCATCTCCACAGACATTTGGAAGGGTGTTATTATCTATGTTTTTGTTTAAGACAAAGAAACCAAGGCTCAGAAAGGTTTTAGTCACTTATCAAAGTCACGTTATTGGTAACAAGGCAAAGCCAAGATTTCAGTTCACAGGGACACCGCGGGTTATAATGTTCAAGGGAAACAAGGCAGTATGAGGCATCAGCCAGACCCCGTGCAAACCGCCAGCTTGAGGTGGCTCTCAGTGTCAGCATTCGACTGCACGTTCTTTTTAATGACAATCCTTGTGAAGCTGCACTTTTTGTCTCAAAGAGCAGGTGCCACTTGGAAATGAATGTGAAACAGAGCTTAGAGTTGTGGTGTCCACGACGTCATCCTAGGTGACAGAAGGCAAGTGATGTCCAGCAGGTGCACAAATCCCATTAATTACTCAGCGTTGGTTATATGAGAATGAGATAAAAGTATTATTATTTTTTTCAATTTATGTGCATTGGTTTTTCAAATGGACCATTAAGAAGGACATAAATATCTAAGTTAGTCTGGTTCTAATTGCTTAAATG